AGCTAAGTGTGGTCATATCATTCTAGTCAATAGGATTTGAACAAAAGTGACTGTGCAGCTTTAGGGGTGAAGTCCTTATAAAAGGAGCTATTTTCCCTTTGCTTGCCTTCCTGGGAACTAGAAAGAGACATGGTTGTGGAGCTGATGAGTAAGCTTTAGTTTATCTGGACAATGGCAGAGCAATGAACAAAAAGAAGCTGGGGCCCTGGATGGCTTGGGAGAGTAGAGTCTCCTACCTATCCTCATCTATCTGTCCATCTCCTTGTCATTATGTGAAAGAACAAGGTATTTCTATCTTATCTGAGTCTTTCTCTTTAGGGGATCTCCTTGCTTTTTAAGCCTAATTTCTATAGTTCTAATATAGTAATAAGAAAGCTACCCTAATGATGAAAAATATAAAGAAGTTAGGCAAACGTTCTGAAATTCTGGAATTTCTAAGGTACCATATGGCAGAGCCCAGACTCAGACTCAGGTCTGCTGTGTTCTGCTACATCATGTCACCTTCCTTAAAGTAAGCAGACAGACACAACGTGAACCCCCTGGGTTTCTCAAGAAAAGGAGTTCTGCTGTGGCTGCCATGAGATTTTAGTGGTTCATCTTTCAAAAAGTCTACCAGAAGGGGGAGACTCTCACCTTTATTGAATACCTGCTGTGTACCAGGAACTCTGTTGTACACTTTACGTGTGGCATTGCACTGAAGACACAAATGCACACAAATGCTGCTCTCAAACTATGCACAATGACATGTAATTCAATAGTTCCACATGAGAGACGGAGAGTGCTAAGTGAGTGCAGAGGAAGGAGAGGAGGTACCTGGCTGTGTGGGGTCGGAAACAGCTTCAAGAAGGAGGTGGCACTGGGTTTGAGTCTTGCAGAATAGGTAGTATCTGGGGGACAAGGCATTGCAAGTAGAGAAAACACCATGAGCAAAGGACGAGGAGCAGGAGAGCACTAGAAGCAGGCCCTTAGCATGTCCAGAATGTAAGCTCCCTGATGAGAGCAGGTAGGTGACAAGAACAGGTAGGCTGATATCAGATGAGGGAGGGCCTGGAGTGGCAGGCTGAAGAGTTCAGACTTCATGTATGGGGTTGAGGGATGCCTGTAGAAGTCTGCATAAGATGTTGGAAAAATCAGAGCTTCAGAATTGATGAGCATTTCTAAGCCATGACTGTGTCCCAGGCGCCGGACAAAGATGAATCTACCAGTAATGGGGACAACAGAGTGGAGGAGGACAGACAGGAAACCAGAAGGCCAGCGAGGAGGCTAACTCAGGAAGCAGCAGCAGAAGAGAGGGGTGGGGTCGACAGAAGAGATGTCGCAAGGGCAGGACTGACAACACTTGGCAGCCTCCTGGGTGTGGGAGGTAAGGGAGCAAGAGGAACCCAAGATAACACAGAGGTTTGTTTTTGACTAGACTTGAAGGGGAGAAAATTACTTACAGATATTCTGGTTAGCTGTTTTCTTAATTAACACAGGGAATGGGAAGTTTTACAATAAGCTAAAAAGGCCTCCCTTTTCTAAGGAATAGTTTATAATTAGATATATAAAAGGTATGGTTAAAGCACATTCCCTTTCTCTTAAGATAAAAGTGTTGGCAGAGATTTAGGATTAATGATCCTCTCTGGAGACTAAAGCAACTCCATCTTGGATGCTAACCTGCCAGGATGACTTTTGATTAACACCAGTTCCAGAAATTCCTTTTAGATCTCCAGTTTATCTATTGTTCTTTGTGTAAGAGCACATACTTACTGTAAAGCCTGCCCTTAGGGCAAATCCCTACCCATTCCCTCTGAGGCAGGTGTGCCCCTCCCCTGTGGTATATAATCCCTGGGTCTGGTGGGTAATGGTATGGGGATCCACTATCTTGTCTTGTGACCAGACAAGACACAGACATGGCTTCTGTTCATTACGTCCCTACTAAATGTTTCTTTCTAAGAAACTGGGTTTGTCAGATTCTGTCTTTGGCCTATCAACTAGAAGACCACAACAATGTTGTCAAGACCCTAGTGTGTGACTCCGGTTTATTATATATAATTTTAACTGTCAGAAAACTTTTTAATTTGCAAATTTATTCAAAGTTTGAAAATACCTTGGAGAGTCTTAGAAATCTTAGAAATTAGTGATTGGGATATCTCTATATTCATGGTATCTATAGGTTTCATATCCACTTAAGTTTCATATCCACTCAGAAGGCTTCAGAAAAAAGAGGTAATATGAGAAGTTAATAATTGTTATGTCTGGCTTCCTCTTTCTTTGCCTTTCTCTCATATCTTCAATCATCTTTTTTCACTGGACATGGATAACTCTTTGGGAAGTGCTAAACTCTCACAGTAAAGTCAAATCAGAGTTAAAGGCAAATGTTTAACCAATCATGTTCAAATACAAGCTAGCAGATGAAGAATTTTAGGCTCAAAGAGTCAAATACTCTGCATTCCTGAGAAATCTCAGTTTCTTATTCTGGGAAATGTTTTCACATTGCACTTTGCTGCCACAGCCAAATGGGTATACCTTTTTGAATTTTTATTACTAAAAGGTTTAAATTGGGATTTAGATTAGATTTAAATTAGAAAACTGAAAGAAAACATTTTGTATCCATGCATTAAAAAAAAAAAAAATCCACCCATAAAAAGGGAGCTAGGTGTAAGTTTCTGATGTGGGAGCAGTGTTCTCATGGAGGTAATGTAAGGCTAGGTCTGTCCACGTCATTTCTTGTTCTTTGACAGATTCTGTGGTGCCTCTGTTGCCTTGTTCAGGTTCAGAAAACTCACTCAGTGGTGTTGCAGCATCCTCATAAGGCAGCTTGTCTTACAGCCAAGCATTGTCAATCAAACCCAACATCGCCCATCTCTCTGTACCTAACTATCCATTCTCCTGAAGCCTTGATTTTTATCAGATGGGCACCTGGCTCATCACAGCACCCACTTCCACTGGGCCAATTTTGGTTGATTTTTGTCCCCTCTCATTCTTCCTCCACTGTCTTACATCTTGGCCCCTGTATGAAAGCTATGGTGAGACCAGAGCTGGGGCCCCATCTTTCCTTAGGAGGACCAGCAGAGCTGTGAGCTCTCGTGTGGGTTGGGGTGCAGTGGGTGGCAGGAGTGGGAAGCAGCTGGCATCTTTTTGGGGTCTCATTATTCACCCAGCAGTAGTTATTTTATATCAACTGTTTAGTAAGCACTGCTCTTGGGGGCACAAAGATAAATTCAAAATAGACTTACCTTCAAAGATCTCATAGTCTGTGGAGGAGACAGAGAGAAACAGATGATTACAACGCAGTGTGGAGGAACAGCAAGGGAGGCTGGCCCAGGGAATAAAGGGAACAGAGGCAAAGGGCAGCTGAGCCCTGACAGTAAATGGTAAAAGCCACCCTGACTCCTTCCAGATCACACCCAACGGCATTGTCAATATCTTCATTCTCCGTGGTGTTTGACTCTTGATAAACCTCCCTCTATTTTTAATTAATTTTGTTTTAATTAAAATACTCAAATTGTAATGTATTTCAAGCATGCATCAAAACAGTGAAAATAATATAAGAGATGGCACCTTAAGTGGTGGTTTTGTGTGACTGTTAAGAGCACAGACTCTAGAACTGAACTGCCTGGGTTCAAATTCCAACACTCCCTCCTACCACTGAGTGATGGTTGGACAGGTTATTGTCCCATCGTGCACCTCAGCTTCCTCCTCCATCAGATAGGGACAATAACACTCATCTGGGAGACTGAGCAGTGCTGGCACGCAGTCAGCATGTAGAAGCGTTAGTTTTTATGCTTTCCAGCAGGCAGCATGTACAGTGTTGTGGTCAAGTTGCTGTCATGTAAGTCCCATTCAGTGCCACACCACCTGTGAACAGTATAATATTGAGTAAGTTATTTAAGTTTTCTGTGCTTTGATTCCCTTACCTATATGAGTCTAAATTATACTAGAATAACCTCATAGGATAGCTTTAAAGGATTGAGTGTGTTCATACCTGTAAAGCTTCCACAACAGTTCTGGCATACAGAAAGCTCCCAACAAATGTTAGCTGCTATTATGAAATGGAAACTCTTTACCTTCACTGAGCTGTAACAGGTGAGAACATTTTGTCACATTTGCTTCAGATCTGTTTTTCAATGGAGTAAAATTATAGTTAACATGGAACTTCCATCTTCCCTCCCAATGCTCTCTGCTCATTGCCAGAGCTCTCCACTCCGACAGTGTGTTTCCTTCCTATCCATACTTTATTTCTCTCCCATTCTCTCTCTATATATAATATAGATGTATTGTATACTAATATGGATAGATGTACATCTGTAAACAATGCATAGACTATTTTTATGTTCTCAGCTTTTTGTAAGTGTTGTCATGCTGTATATATTCATCTGCAACTTGGCTTCTCCTTTTTATCCAACTTAGTTTCTGAGACTTATCTATGTTCATTCATCTTCACTACTGTGTTGTACTTCATTATATAAATAAACTAGAGTTAATTAATCCATTCTCACAAGATGGACAGTTACGTTGTTTCCGGTTGCTGCTGTCTGTATAGCAGACTATACTGCATCAAGCATTTTTGTGTGCACATCCTCTTTGAAGCACTCTGATTCCAGGGCTCTCATGTTTTGTTTTGCTTTTAATTATTCTTTTCATATTTGACTATTCTATGAGAGTCTGGTAAGTGTCTTTGGTCTTAGAATGTTGAGGATTGTGCCAGATAAATTATAATCCTCACTGTGATTCTCTAAAGTAGGTGGTAGAGTAGGATGATTAAAAGCAGGGATCCTGGGCCAAGTACCGGGATTCAAATTCCAGCTTCTCCATATACAAACTGTAAGGTTTTGAGAAAATCACTTAATATCTTGGGCCTCAGGTTTCCTTTCTATAAAATAGAGTGATAATTGAATCTCTTCATAGGGTTATGGGAGGAGTGAGTGAATTACTGTATATAAAACACTCAGAAAAGTGAGTGGCACATAATGAATGCTATGTAGGTGTTATAATTAGTTTTAACTCTCTTTTCACAGAAGGGGAAACAGAAATGCAGAGAAGACAAGCCATGTTTCAAAAGAAATACAGCTAAGTTAGCCCTACTGAGACATGGACTGGAAGGTAGGCACATCTGACATTGCAAACTTCCAAACGCATGCCTTCCCACCACACAGTGGGAAGCTCCTCTCTCTATGGAGCTTTGTGTTCATGAAATCTCTGTCTCCTCAGTACAAGACTCTGCCTAGGAGATTTGGAGGCAAAAGCCAAGTTTCCTTGTACACCGTCCCTCTCTCTGAAGCTCCCGCTGGACCTCCAGGGGGATCAGGAACTTCTAGTTGGGCTATCACATGGGCGAGCTGACCGGCCCTGTCCTTCCACTCATGGCAGCCACAGTGATCTGGCAAAATGTAAGTCAGTTCCTATCACTTGTCTGCTTGAAACTCTCCACTGGTTTTCCATCACACTTACAAGGAAACCCAGATTCCAGACTTTGAGGTGCAAGGCCTTCAGGATGTGCTCCCTGGCTTTCCGTTGACCTTATCTCCTCCCCTTACTTTAGCCACAAGGGCCTCTTTGTGTCCTTGAATTTGGCGCTTGATTTCACTTGGGATTCTTTTGCATCTGCTGTTCCTTCTGCCTAGATCTCTTTGCTTCAGATCTTCACATGTTACTCACTCCCTCATTTCACTCAGGTCTCTGCTCCAATGTCACATTCTGCAAGAAATCTTCTCTGAACACCAAAAATGACCTCTTATTTTTGCTTCCCGACCAACCAGAGCTGATACTGCCCATAGCTCTAGAGCAGATCTTTTAGGTGCTGGATTTTTGGGAGGTCCTAGAGGCCTGGGAGAGAGTCTAGTATGGCCACAGTGGGAGGCTGGGGACAGGGGAAAGGGGAATGGAGGATGACTTGGGGTAGCAGCTATTTACCACCTGGTAGAGGTGACCTCAGTATTTTCATCAGTATGGCTACATCAGCACACACAACTGTATCACTAGGGCCTAGAGCTGTGCCAGACAAACAGCAGGCAGTCAATCAATATTTGTTTAATTAGTTAAGTAAAAGGGAAAAATGGACAGAGAAAGCAACATTTCAAGGTAAGGAAGTCCAAACAGGTAGCATGAGGCACAAGGAAGAAAGGTAGAGAGGTGTTCCTGGCTATGGGGGGTTGATGTTGGAAGCTAGGGGAGTGGAGAAGAACCAGTCTCCCTCTTCAGAGGTTGCTGCTTCTTATGCACCTCAGGGAAAAGAGGTTGCCCTTTGGAAGGTGCTCTTCTGGTCTGCTGTGGCTGCACTCACTCTGCTGAGATTGGTCTGCTCCTCCAGGAATCTGGTTCAGCTCCACGCAGGTGGTGGGCAGCAGATAGAAAATGTGAGGTAGGCTCCCCACATTTGGTTTAATGCTTTGCTGTTGCTATCTTGAAATTCTTGATTTTTGCACAGGGGCCCCCTGCATTTCCATTTTGCACTGGGCCCTGTGCATTATGTAGCTGTGCATTATGAGTGTACCATTCCATAAGACAAGAAAACAGCCTGCCCAAGTTAACCCCCAGCCCACAGACAAACTAAGGTTTCTCATTATCAGGGAAACAGCCAAACCCTGGGCCTGCCTGTGTAGCAAAGTGAAGCTCATCACCCAGCCTTAGACCCTCTGGTGGCCACACAAAATTAGGCAGAAGCTTTGAAGAGCTGCTTTTCCGTATCTCAGGCGGGCCTCCTCATTTTGTTCTCAGGGAGCACTGAAGCAGGAGGAGGATATAGAACTCTCCAGTATAACGAGCGACCCCGCAGAGGCCTAGGTGGGTAGAACGCATGGGGGGAGGGGACAGCCTGTGCACATGCACACACATGCATTCATGCCTCAGGTTTTTGGTTTTGACTTAGTGTTTTAAAAAATTTTTTGTTTGTCACTGATTGGCTAAAGATGTCCTGACAACTGAATTCTGGTCTTCCAGTTTGGGAAGCTCAAAGAGTTTCCTCACAGACATTGGACTTTGCCTCCCAAGACTTGGGGTAAGGTAGAAGAGAAAAGGATGACTGAGTTTAAGGCTGGGCTGAGCAGAGTTCCAATACCTGCAAGTTCTTATGTTTTTCCTGGGATTATGAAGTCCCTGCAGACAAGGTCTATCTTGTAGTTGTCTCAATACACCTAATTACTTTTTAACCAGTTAATTAATCCACCAGCCCATTCAACAACTACTGCCAGAGTCCCGGCTATGTGATGGTCACGTTTGTAACCTGTGAGGATATACACCTGTGAGGAGCACTTCTCTGGGTTTCAGCCTGTGCCTGCAGCTCTCTTCCTTGACCTCAAACGTAATACACTCAATGTGGGCTCATGTGCTGTGGCCCTGCCTGGGTCCCATCCATTTTTAGCACCATTATGCAGAGAGGCTACTTAGAATGGCAGAGAGCATGGGCTTCAGACTTGCTCTCTATGGTGAGGACTGGCCATGCCCCCCTACTCACTGTGCCTCAGTTTCCTCATAAGGTAGAATGACACATACTATTATGACCAACTGTCTAGGTACTCGAGCCAGAAAATCGGGAGTCCTATTTGATTCCTCCTTCTGCTCCAACCCCGATTCCAAGTCTTGTTATATTACCTTCTAAATGGTCAAAGAATCCATTCAGTGCTCTCTTCATTATTAAAGTCCTGGTCCAAGCCACCATCATCTGCCAACTGGACTATTACACTTGTCCACTATTTAGTCATTCTATTTCCACCCTTGTCTGTTCTGTTCTCCACGCTACAGCTAAACTGTCTTTCCAAAACATCGATCTCATCATGTCACCCTGCCAACAAGACCTTCAGGGTTTCCAGACTCTGCTCACACCACACTCTCCCCACTCCCTTCGCTCTCTGCTCTGCCAGCAGGGGCACCAGTGACATTTTGGGCCAGATAATTATTTGTTGTGAGGGATTGTCCTGTGGGTTGTAGGATGTTTAGTAGCATCTCTAGCTTCTACCTACTAGATACCAATGACAACCCTTCCCCTAAGTTGTGACAAAAAAAAAAAATCTCCAAATGTGACTGAATGTCACCATTGTCAGATATCCCCTGAGGTGAAATCACCCCCGTTAAGAACCTTTGCTGTAAATGCTGTCCTCCCTCCTGAAATAAGGAAACAGAGGCCTCTTTTTGACAAGAGCACTCTCCAGGCCCTGCCCCTCTTCTTAATTCACCCCTTCTTGGCCTCACTCCAATGTCCACTCCATCATCACTTCCTGAGGGAAGTTTCTCTAATACCTCTGCCTCTCTGGTCCCCCTGTTATAAGTTCTCCTAGCATTGGGTACTTCTCCTGTGTTGTACTTATTAGCTGGTAATCAAAATAAATGATTACTAACATATTCGTAGTTTTGCTTGTACTTGTGTGATTATTTGATTAACATCTGCCTCAGCCAAGAACAGACTGTAAGCTCCATGAGGGCAGGGACTGCATCTGTTTTCCTCATAATTGGATCTCCAGGATACAATGTATCTAGCCTAGTACCTGACACACAGTAAGTCATCAATCAATATTTGTTGAACTAATAAATACATGAAGATACAGCCCCTTCCCTCATGTTGTTGCTTTCTAGGGGAAGAGATAGGTAAGGAAACAAGCACAACACAAAATTTTGTGATGAAGTAATTATACACTGGGAGTCCACGGAGCACCTAACAGTTTTGGGGAGGTCTGAGATGCTCCTTGAGGAGATTGTATTCTAGTTCCTGGCAGGAGATCTGAAGCGTATTTAAGAATTAAGTGAATGGGGGTGGGAGGGAGAAAAAGAAACTGGAGAGAGTAGGGGTCTCCAGGTAGAAGGATCAGCTTGCTCAAAGACTAAGAAGTGAGACTGCCTGGTCCTCAAATCCCTTCTTCTCTTACCCTTCTGCCTTCTTTCCAATTCCCGTTTGTCCCAGGCTAAGGCCTTGCTTAAGCGATCTCTGTCAGAAGGATGGAGTGAAAGCAGGGAGAGAGTCCCTTCTGGCTCACAAGCAGGGTGGCCAACAGTCGCAGTTTTTTCTGGGACTGTCCTGGCTTTAGCACTGAAGGGTTCACGTCCTGGAAACCCCTTGGTCCCTGGATAAACAGGAAAAGTTGGTCACCCTGCTCAGAGGGTTTACTCTGGTCACCCAAGCACCTGGAAGGAGAAACAGGGCATCTGAATGTCTCAGAATGATCCCTGGACTGGGGCCAGGACACCTGAGTTTGAGTCCCAGCTCTGTCCCACACCACCCTTGTAATTCTGAAGAAGTTGTGTCTCCAGCCTCCCTATATTGACAACATTTGCTTATTTTCTAAATTCTGTATGTTCTGGAATTTGGGGTCTTGATCCTAGAGAGATTCCTAGGGCTAATCTCCAGAGTTAGCAAATGGCTCCCCGTGGAGCATGCTTTTGATATGTGAACCAGCCAATCCAGAGCCCGCATCCCCAACCCTCTCCTTTAGCAAATTCTCATACACCAATGCAATATCTCCCCTGCCCTAAACCACCCCAGGGCCAGGTCCTGGACAACTAGGGATCACCCCTATAGCCCAGAACCTACTGAAATTATCCAAACTACCCAAAGCTAAACTTACTCAGCATATTTGCAGCACCTCGCCCATTCCTTCCCACTGGAACCCCAGTAAAGGCCCTGAGTCATGCATGCTCTCCTCTCCCCACTTCTGCCTCCTGACTGACCCAGCGCTTCCTGGGGAGGCCTGCATGGCATGCCGTACCTCCTGTTCTAGGGGCCTGTGAGTATAAACTTTTTCCTCCCTGACAATCGTTTCCATTTCTTACCATGCCTGATTAAAACAAACTCCAGGTTCATTTTATCACACTTCTCCCTGCCCTTATTGGCCCTGCTGCCTCACAGGGTTGTTGCAAGGGCCTAATAAGATAATGTTTATAAAAATGCTTTGTCATCTTTCAAGGATAAGGTATTTTTATGCATTCCTTTCTGGATCATTTAGGTTTGAAAATGCTGGAAATCCCCACAGGGCCCTGTTGAGGATGTAGGGAGACCGTTCTTAGGAGGATGATCCAGGTCACCGCCTTGGGCCCCTCTCCACTGTGAACAATCCGTCTGCCAGGCAGCAGTGGCCAAGGCCCATTTGGACAGCAGCCTCCTGGACTCCTGGTCTGGCCGCCTCTTCTCCAGCTTGCACCTCCTTTTCCTTTCACTGGGGGAACAAACACATTTAGAGTTGAATGGAACCATTCCATGAAATGCTTGTCCTCAGGAGAAAAGCTTCCCATTCCTTTGGAGAGCATGCACGCCACAGAGCAGGGCTCCCCCAAAGCGTTCCTCCAAGAAAAGCATATGGGAGCTGTTAAAGTCAAGAGGCCAGCACACTGGGTGGGACCTTCCTCATAAAAGCAGGAGCCTGCATCCTCTCTTCTAAATCTCTTCCTGGAAACAATCCTCTTCTCTTCCAGCCGAGGGCTGTTTACTCTGGTTTACCTCCCGGCTGCGTGGTTCACATCCACGAGGCCAACACAAAGGCAGTGTATGACCCGTGACTACCTCTCAGGCACCCAGGCTATGAAATAAAGTTTTGAGCAGGCTGTGGGCAGTTATGTGGTTCTGTGGCTTCAGTGAGTGCTAAGGGGGCATGACAGTAGCTCGAAGGGTCTTGGAATAGAGTTGCCAGAGAAAACACAGGATGCCTGAATATTGCACAGGACATACTTACACACAAAAGCATTTGCTATGTATCCGAAATTCAAATTTAACTAGGCTTCCTGCATTTTTATTTGCTGAATCTGGTAACCCTAATTTAGGAGCCCATTTCTGAATCTATTTGTTTTACTTCCCGTGCAGAACAGGCCCATGTCCTTCATTTCCTGTGGAGATTTCTGGGTCTAGTCTTTTGTTCCTGTCCCCTGCTGCATGAGTCATAGACTCCCAGGCATCACCAGGTGGGCTCCAGAAGTAACTTGCTGTGAGGTCTATAACTAATTAGGTCTCTACTTAATGGGCAGATGAGAGAGCTCAGTGCGGGATTCGAGGGTAATCAAATTGGCGAATCTTGCAAAGTCTTGAAGAGAACACGTGTACACACAGAAAACATGAGTTTGGGTGGGTTAAGTGATGTCCAGGGCCTTGGGCAGGTGGTGGTCTGCTGCTGTGATGCTGGAGGGGAAGGGTTAGACACTAGCCCTTCTGCAACATATCTTTGGCTTTGGGGTCTTGACGGCTGCCATGGGGAGCCGTCCTTAATTGTATCCAGGAATTTGCATGGGCCCTGGAGAAAAGGTGTCGGGGTTACAATCTCTTTTTCTAGACTTTCACAGTCATAAAGGCTTATGTGAACTAGGTGGCCTTGGTGAAGTCCTGACAATAGAAAAGGCAGTGAGGGACCCCAAGAGGAAACACTGCACAAAGAGGGAGGTGGGAAGGAGCAAGGCTCATGAAGGAGAGTGCCTCTCCAAGGTACAGTGTGCAGCTGATATGGGGGACCACATGGACCATGGCCCAATTAGGGAATCCTGGGGGGTGAAGAGAAAAAGGTTACACGTGTGAACAAAAAGATCTGTGCCATTATGACTTACACATGTAGGCCCCAAGGGGGTTTTCTGTTAGGCATCCTCCTTACAGGCTGGCTTCTCTCCTTCCTTGAGGAGCACCAAGATCAGGTGGACAAATAAGCATAACTTATACAGGCAACTGTGGGGACAGCAGGCTGGGCCCTGGGACCAGCTGGAGTGGCGGCTCAGTCAGTCCTTATCTCTGGAGATCGCTTAAGACCTTGGCACACGCTCAGTCATACCTGCAGGTTGGAAGCAGCTGAGATGGAGACGGGTAGTTCAGAGTGTGGTGGTCCTGAGGTCAGCCCACTCGGTGAATCTGAGTGCCTTCTCTTCCAGTAGCTGGCAGCAGGAAAGCAAAAAGAAGGACTAAGTTTGGGATAATGGGCACAGATGGGGTGTAGGGTGAGGGGTGTTGCAGTGTGCATGTATGCATGCAATTTTTAGGGACATTTGAGGACAACCTGCACAAATGTCTGAGCTTCAGTTTAGCAGGTGGGGGCTCAGAGTTATTATAATTAGGTTATTAAAAGAAATGGGGCATTATTTTATAGTCAAAGGTTAGTGAGGTCGAGACTTTTAGAAGACACGTATCTCCAAGGAGCTGTCCATTGGGATACAAGTTGACACTAGATTGAACTTCTTTTGATTAAACTTCTTTCAACACCAGATTAAATTTTTTCCAAATGGAAAATCTTGCTCAATGTTGTCAGTTCTTATCTTTTTGTCAGTTCTTATCTTTTACTGTTCAATTCATAAGGAAGAAGGAAAGAGGAGTGGGGTCAGGAGCTACTTTTAAAAGGCACCCCTTTCCCTGCGTGGTCACAGCTCTATCCCAGTTTTGAAGAGTGGAGTGCAAGCTGGATTCCAGCCCCTGTTGCCTTCCCAGCTGTGTGCCCCAGCACAACCCTACATTTTCAAAAAGAATGCTCTGAAGCATGGATGCCATCGTCCTATCATGGCATTGTTATAGTAACAGAATTGGTGAACACTTGCTATATACCAGGCACTAGTCTAAGCACTTTACATATGTCTCATCTGGTCCTCACAACAGCTCTTCAGAGATGAGGAGACAGAGTAACCAGCGAAGGTCATCACAGTAATGGTAGAGCTGAGTGTATTGTCCTAACCACCTGCTGTCCTACTAGACATGGAAAGATTCACAGCAGCAGAGCAGGGAAAATGAGTCAAATGGAGGCCAAAACTGAGAACTAAGAGATTTGTGAGAATATTCAAGCAACACAAGGAGAAAATAAGAAGGAAAGTAAAAGTACCGCCACAAGCAAAAGTGGTAACAAAATGCTTGATATGAAGTCCTATTTACCAGTGATAAGCCACATGGATAGTTAGTTATGAGCTTTTTTGTAATCAACAGGAAGAGGAAAATCACAATTTTCAAGATTCCCAGTGTCTCTAAAGTATAAAGCTCAAGTATCTGGAGAGAAGCATAACTATCTGTGGAACTAAGATAAGAATGAATTGCCTTTAGTCAGTTTTTGAAGAGCCATTTGTCCAGGGTCTCACAGCTGCTCAGCCAGAATTTGAACCCCAA